ATCAATATATTATATTTTTTTACCATCTTGTTTGTATTAGTTAATATATTATATCATTAGAGATTTGTTTCAATTATATTTTGAAATATTATAATTAATTAATTTTTTAAGATACCCTTTTTGATCATTTTACATTTTTATCAATTTGTTTTGTCAAAAAAGATTTGTTCATTAACTAGCTTATCAGCTACCAGTTAGCTTATAAGCTAACAACGAGTTTATCACTTACCAGCTAGTTTATTAGCTACCAACTAGTTTATTAGTTAGTTTGTCAAATATAGAAATAAAACTTGTTGTATTTTAATACATTTTGACCTAAATTAAACTAAAAAGCCGTTTGGTAGGTTTTCTATCAAGTATTGCATGGATAAAGGTGTATCCGTGGATTAATTTGTTTGTATAGACTGAAAAAGTTTTTATTTACGAAGGTTTTTTCATAGATGAAAGAAACGTATTTTTTAATTAGAAGAGAAGGGTTTGGTTATTTGGAAAATATTTGGCTTTTCGCATGAAGCTCCACTACAAGCTTACTGACTTAATCATTTTTATGTCATTATTAAACAATAATGTATAACTAACCGAAAAACTCGTAATTGCCGTTAAACTGTATTAACAAACAATACCCATAGCCATATGCCTTTTTTTTTTCTTTCTGGTTTGGGCCTATTTATAGAGTTAAAGTGGGCCTTTGCTTCTGTAAGGTCGACAGGTCGTAGAGGAATCAATTTCAATCGATCCTTCGTCATTCTTCCTCCTGCGGGCGCACATCAGGTTTCTTTTTGGCCATCTCAGTCTTCATTCAGGTTAGGTTTTCAGTCAAATTACTTGTGGTTATCTGTTTAATCATGTATATATGCGTTTATAGATGGCTGTATAGTAGTTCGATTCATGTGTTTCTTTTACGTTTCATTTAGACATTTATATGGATGATTGTTCTGCTGGGGCTTCGTATTTTGTGATTTTTTTTCATGTTCAGCTTAGGAAAAGTTGAGGGGTTTTTAACGAAGTCATAGAAACATGTTGAAGTTCATGTAATAATGAGAAATAAGACACTTAAATTTAGCTATCTGTCGGAAATGTCTGTGTTTGAACAAGATATATGTTTTGTTGATGTGAAGTTGTGATGTATTATGGTAAGAAAGTGATTTTTAGGGCTGTAAATGCTTTAGTTATTGTGAGAATACCTGGAAACCTGACGTGGGGACTCGTACACGTAGACAGACACAGATTATCCCAAAGTGTTGAGGCCCTGGAGTGGTAGATTTTGGGTCCGATACCGGATATGTGGAACTCCCTCAAGATTTAGGGTCTGTTTGCTAGCTTAATGGGACTCACATCTTATTCGGTTAGCTATAGATGACTATTTGATAGTGGCTTGATGATATAGGAAGTGGATTATTCGGTAAACTTCTAGGGAGAGCTTTATGCAGAAAGACAAGTTTTTCCCGAACCTATCCCTCCTAATTAACAAACATGCTCATTCCATTTGTGAAAACCCCCTCCTAATAAAAAACCTTCTCGATCTACACACATAGATTAATCCACACAAACAACTTTATCCATACAGAACTTAATGGAAAACCAAGCAAACAGCCCCTTGTTCTCCAAAAGAGAGCCTTCAAAAGGGCCTTGAGGAGAGAATGGAGGTTCCAAAATATATATAGAGGCCTTGAGGAGAAATGGTCCAACTCCAATTGTTATATATGTGCATGATGAGAATATCAATCAGACGAAGGATCGCGTGAGAAGAAGAGTTAAGGTGAGAAGCGAAAGAAGGGATCTTCACCCTTGATCACTTTTAATCTCATGCCCACCCATGAATTGCACTTTAGAAGGGAATTGATTTGGTGCATCTCAGTGTATCTCACTAGTGTTGATCCTCAATCAGGATTGATCCAAGGGTAGAGATTCCTTCTTACCCTTCTCACCATAACTTTCCTTCTCACCGGAACTCAACCCAATCAATGGTACGTAAACTACAGTTAGTAATTGTTGATCATATTTTTCACTTGAAAGATGGTTTAAACCAAGGTTTTAAATGGCATAGCGTGACCGCAAGGTTAAGCCTTATGCCTTACACGACACAGCGAGGACGCGACCTTTTTCAAGGTGTGACATAAGATGACATATTTATATGTCATACATATATATATATATATATATATATATATATTAGTATTTATACAAAGAGTCTATGAACAAGGGAAACGATCTCTTTAAAAGAAGACATGATTAAATATTCAAAATAGAACTTGGAAAAGTTTTACAATTTCGTTTTAACCGTGAGTCCGAGGCGTATATCCATGAAATTGTAAGTGATGTGATTAAATCTGTAATGGTGTAATATACAAAGTAAAAAGTGTAAAAACACAAAAGCTAAAAAATAAAAAATTGAAAAAAATCATGCCTTGTAAAAGATGCACGCTGTGGCGCGTCAGGTGCACTCACCTTACACAAACCCTTAGGCCTTATTGTAACGGCGGAGATGCGTCTTACACCGTGATGAATCTTTTAGAACCTTGGTTTAAACAGAGTGGTTGAGTTGGTTTGCAAGAGACTAGGTAGGAATCTATGTTTTTTTTCTGCCATATCTTACGCTTCTCTTTTTCATATTCAGAGGACTGTAAATCATGGCAAAAGCTCCATTAGTTATGCTTTAACATATTTCTGTTGTATATATAAAGCAAAGCTCATAGCTATTGTGCATTAGTTGTGGAATCTGAGTGTGCTTAATTAAAATGTTAACGTACCAGTCTTATGATCGGGTCACCCACCTTGTATATTTTGAGTAGCAAGCTCTTTAAATGTCTTTGGCTCCTTTTGAAGCCGGAGGCTTTATCTCTTTCGTTTTTCAAACAAGGCTAGTGGAGACTAATTCGTTCCTTGCCATAAGCCTTATAGCTTCTTCGCTTACCGCCTAAGATGAATTCTTTTTCTTATTTTATCTTCTTTCCAACATCGAATCAAGGGTCGAGCATGGCCTGACCACCCTCACTGCAACCTCTCGTGCTGCAGGGGGTACTTTAGAATTGCTCCAGATGGGTATGAATATATCAGACTTGAATACTTTCAAGGTCCATATTTGTTCTTTGATCAGCCATAAATTTAGCTTCAGCTTTCAATCTTCTTACTCTTTATCATTCAGTGTTTTTGTAAGTCTTTATTGTTCGTTGTTCTCTTTTTCCTAGATATGTAAGAAGCATTGCGTGCATTGTTGTTTCATTCAGTTATTCGTACTGCTTTCTGTATTTTGTTTCATTGCTTTTCAGCGTTCATTCCTTTTAGGTAGAATTTCTAATGGCGGATCTGCATTCTCATAATCTGGTGCAGTAATTTCATATATTTTGATCTTTTCGTGCCGCCATGAATTGATATCTCAAATGTGCATTTTAGTTTACACCATTTGAGAAGAAATCAATAAAATCCATAGACGATGCTAATTACATCACGAATTTTGTCAAGGCCAGTTTGTGCGCACCTTGACTAATCCTATGGGGCACTGAAGTCTTTTTGAATATATAATATTATATTATATATGCCAAATGAACTCATGCACCCTTCTCACCGTTGATGAGGTTTGAACCCTTGACCTCTTGGCAGGATAGGAGCAAACCCAAGGTCTTACCGGTTGAGCTATCCTTGAGGGTCATGCATAACGGTGTTACTTGCACTCTTCAAGATTGAGGTGATGTTAGGTGACACAAAAGGACGCCCTGATCATTCCAAATATTATTTCTTCTAAGTTTCACATTTTTAAAGATAACACCATTATATAGTATCATGGTGCCATCAGGAGATGCTTGAGGGTAGAATTGGTAACTAGTGTGAAGTGTAGAGTTTTTCGGGGAATGCTTGCTTGCAATCTGAATTCATCATCAAGTTTATCGACCATATTGTTCTTACAACATCTGTTATATCTGGAGAAAGAAGAAAATTCCGAGTGCTTGGTATCATTTTGCTTGACACGGTTTTTGTTGGATTTTAGTTATTTAAGTTCAACTCTAATCAAACCGTTCTTTGTCTTACTCTTTGGGATAGATGACAGTTCTGCTTCTGCACATACCCTACCTCCCAACCGGAGAGGCACTGCCCGAAAACCTTGGGCCTAGTAAGCCTGATCCCAAGCCTAGGCCCAGCCCCAAAACCCAATCAGGCCAACTTTTTGCCAAGGCCCGGAAAAAGCCCGGTTAATCCCAGACTGAGAAAACCCAATGGGGCCCTCTTTCAACGCCAAAGTCCAGGCCCAGGCCCAAAAGAGCATGGGTCTTTTTTTGCTTACTAGAAAAAGGGCTTGGAAGGCCTTGCCGAGGCTCGAAAAAACCTGGGCCTTGGGCATCTCTACATGTCTGCTCCCGACCTAGTTTTAAGTAGGATATACTGGGTCAGTTTGATTTGGTTTTCTAATCAATCTGTTATGTTAAATGCAGGTTGCGGTAATTTAAACAATGGCGAAGCATCATCCTGATCTGATAATGTGCCGAAAGCAGCCAGGAATTGCGATCGGAAGGCTTTGTGAAAAATGTGACGGAAAGTGTGTTATCTGCGACTCTTATGTGCGGCCATGTACGCTTGTACGGGTCTGCGATGAATGCAACTATGGCTCCTTCCAGGGTCGGTGTGTTATATGTGGAGGTGTCGGTATTTCCGATGCCTATTATTGCAAAGAGTGCACACAGCAGGAGAAAGATCGAGATGGATGCCCGAAAATTGTGAACTTAGGAAGCGCGAAAACAGATCTGTTTTACGAACGCAAAAAATACGGGTTTAAGAAAAGATGATGGAATTTGTGTTGATTCTACTACATACCTTAAACAACTATGAGTAGGAAGTTGTGTATTTGTGTTTTGTTGATTATTTAGGGTCATACTTGTTGGTTTTATTACTTGTTACTATCAATATATTGTAACGGCATAATGAAACTAGACGATCGCTTATATCCTATCTGGAGGTGGGCTGTATGTAAATCTGACCTTTATTTTAGGTTAAATAAAATGATTATGATTGTTTCTGTGGAGATCCGCGCCGACTGGGAAGGGAAAAAGAATATATTGTAAATATTATATTAAAAAAATTCTAATCGTTGATTGGGTTTTGATAGGTGTAATTTGTATGACTGTGGTTTCAGTTTGAACCTGGGCACCACTGGATTTACTTTTCTCGATCGTGATTGTGGGACCAGTGCGGTGAGAATGCACAACGTCTCAAATAGTGGCGTTCAATGGGATGTATGTCTTGATTTACCTTTCTCATCGTGATTGTGGATGGATACGCGAAACGTGCGTCTATCATTTAGTTTTTGATTTGTCCCAATTTCGTTCTTAAGTGGACTAAGGGGCGGTTTACTTGAATACTTACCCGGTAAGTGCTTAATGTGGAGTCAATACTATAATTTATTTTACGGGATAAGATTATAGTACATCAAAGTGGTATCTTATGCAACAATTTACCCGGGCAAGAGTCGTCGCCCTCACTTATCGAGTAAGATTTTTCATCTTTATCTTTGCTCTTACCGGGTAAGATTTTTTACTATTGTCATGTTCATCCGGTAAGAAACATTACCCGATAAACACTTACCGGATAAGTGTTTAATAAACGGCCCCTAAATGTATAATCTTTTAACTCATTTTTTGGATTGGTGTTAAGACTCAAAACATGGGGATCGTTGGCCTCACTCTATGTTCTGGCCTTGAGGGCTGGTCTTCCTTTTTCTGGTCCAAGGACCGGCTCAATTTGAATTCAAAGTAATAGGGTTTTTTGGTTATCTGTGGATGTCGCGGCTAGGTTGCATGTACCTCGACTAATCATAAAGGCTTTGGAAAACAGATGGAAAAATCACCAGTGACGTCTCTACCTTCGAATATTCTGTTTTTGTTTCTCTCATTTCAAGTTTTCAACAGTAGTTATAGAGATTGCAGATTCTCAACAATAGTTCAAAATTTAAACAAATTATATCATAACTTTTTGTCTGGATTGTTTTATAGACACTTTTATTTCGTCTTTTTTTAATTGAGTTTGAAATTTACGAGAGATATCTCTCAATTTTTTTCTCATGAAGGAATCGAAATTGACAAATTTACCCCCTAATTAGATATCGATAACTCTCATAACCAAGAAATCACCACAATCTTACCCAGCGACATCTTATATGACAGTTTATTGAGTTCTTCACAATTCTGATATATAATTTGGTTTTTATGAGAAAATTCATGATAGATGAGAAGAAAAAAATAGTTTGACAGAAATAAGACAAATATCTCCATGCTTATTAATATAATAGTCTATGCATGTAGTTGATACAGTTATATCAACATGATAAAGGGGCGTTTCAAAATAATTATTTAATTAACTGGGACAATTTTAATGTTTGAATAACTTGTGTTTATGATCATCTGATTACTTAACGGTTAAAATAACCAATTTGATGATATAAGTGATTATTAATTAAGAGGGCCATTTAAATATAAGCCCTCTAGATTAGATTATATAACCGATGCAAAAAGTATGACTAAATACGTTTTAAAATACATATAAACTAGTATGGGAACCGCGCTTTGCGCGGTAGCATGAGTACTTTGATTAATGATCTGGATATTGTCTATATAAATATATATATTAGTTGTTAATAAAATCATCAATAATAGTATTCAAATAATTCGAAAAGTTAAATAAAATATAAATATATACATACATGTATATATACCCATTGAAGCAAACTCCATGAATCGACACAAATGCACCAATCCATATTCCACCTCATCACCGCAAGGTTTTAAATTTTATAATCCTCATAGTGTCACCTCATCACCCCAAGGTTTTACTTATATATATATATATATATATATAGATA